TCCACAATTCAAAAAGGATGTGGAGAAGCTTGAGAGAGTGCAGAGGAGAGCCACGCACATGATCAGAGGTCAGGAAAACAGACCTTATGATGTGAGGCTGAGAGCTATGGGACTCTTCAGCCTGGAAAAGCGCAGGCTCAGGGGTGATCTGGTGGCTGCCTATAAGTTTATAAGGGGTGCTCACCAGGATCTGGGGGAACATTTGTTCACCAGAGCGCCCTGAGGGATGACAAGATCGAATGGTCACAAACTCCTCCATGACCGTTTCTGGCTGGACATAAGGAAGAACTTCTTTACTGTCCAAGCCCCTAAGGTTTGGAATAGACTGCCATTGGAGGTGGTTCAAGCACCTACTTTGAACGTCTTCAAGAGATAGTTGGATGTTTATCTTGCTGGGATCCTATGACCCCAGCTGACTTCCTGTCTCTGGGGCAGGGGGCTGGACTCAAAGATCTTCTGAGGTCCCTTCCACCCCTGATGTCTATGAAATCTATGAAACTGGTGCTTGTTGCAAGGATACGTAGGCGGAGGATTGTGGTTTTACCCTGGGCCCTGGCCCCCAGCCCTGCACTGTCACTGCCCCAAGATCCCAGACCCACCCCCGTTCTTGGCCTTGCCTGCCTGTCCTGCTTCTGGATGTTACTTCCTGCCTGCCCATGGCCCCATCTCATCTCCCTGGCTGAACACAAGGGTCCCCAACTGATCTCCATGGAGACCCTGCCTGCCCACTCTGTCCGGTGCTCCTGGTGGTGGGTGCGAGGCGGACGGGCAGCGGGGCTGGGTCCAGTGGCAGTGGTGACCTTAGTGGCGGCAGCTAAAAGGAGCTGCCAGGATGCAGTCTGACCTCTATGTTGCCCTAGCCCCTCTGCATGCCTTTGGGCGGCAGTACCAGCTGCATGTGCCATGACCCAGGCTGCCCCCTGTGCCTGGGCCAGGTGGGGCCGAGTGACCCATCGCAGGCAGGATAAAATCCCTTGTTGGGCTGGATTCAGCCCGTGGGCCATATTTTGCCCATCTCTGGTTTAAATCAATCTCAGACCATCAGGAGTGAGGATGGAACTTTTTCTAGACAAATTCCACCCTACAGTGGTGCTTTCTCAACAGTATCTGGCAGAGGAACACATCTGTTATTGTGCTTGCGTCTGGCTGGAGACAGGGTATTGGATTAGTGGGACCTTAGGCCGGATCCAGAATGGCAGTTCTCATGGAGATGTGGGCTACTGTAGCAAACCCTTTGAGGATGGATGTTTTGTTTTTTATTTCCTTTTTGTGCCTACTTAATTTCTGTTTCCTTACTGGAGTCAAACGCAGAGTAGGTTTATCAGCATCTGGATTTCTTGCTTCTTCCAGTAACCTCTATGAATATTACAAACAATACGATATGTATAGGCAGGTCCTTGGACTTATGACACAATTGGTTCCTGACAACCATGTCTTAAGGCAAAATGTTGTAACTCGGAACCAGTTTTCCCATAGGAAAAAATGTTATAAATGGGGGATTGGTTCCTGAACCAAGGCTTGATATCCTATTTTGACCAAAAATAACCCAGAATTTTTGCTTTATCAATTATAGATGAGTAATATAGCTACATTAATGCATTTATATTGTAAATAGCAATCATATTGATTCCGAAGGACTTCTTTGAGGTGACTGCTGGACTTTTTGAAGAGCTCTTGGTTGGAGTCTTTTCAGGAGTCTTGGCTGCAGATTTTTCTGGAGTTTTGTCTGCTTTCTTAAAAAAAGTGTCCAAGGAAGTTTGGACAGATGTTCTCCAGGGAGATGGGCAACACAGCGAGCTTGCTCACTGGTGTGGCATGGCATCGGATCAAGCGTTGTAAACTCAAAACTGACGTCATAAAGTTGAAACAGGGTGTGGGTTTATAAACATTGTAAGTGCCGTTCATTGAATCATTGTAAGTCGAGGACTGCCTGTACATGCTTATTGTATTACAGAATATCCAACAGCTCTGGAGAGTGCATGCATCTGTTCGCACCCCCAACCCTGCCCTTGCTTCATTTGAATCTAGCTGCTTCTGAATTTTTCGTGGCTTGTTGATGATTTATCATTAAAATAGATCTTTGTTCATTCTCTCTGTAAATGTTACATTTAGTAAATAATACAGCTAGTATATAATGTGATTCACTCCCATTGCGACACATGGGCAGTCGCCACTTCTCAAAATAGGCAGGCCTCTTGAGAATAGCCCTGGCAAGGGTGGCCAGAACAACCCGTCTCCCTTTCTTGTTGAGTGTTTATTTTCTATCAGACTATTTTGCTTTTTGTTAAATTGATCCATCAGGCTCAGTTACTTAAACATTAATGTCTCGTCCTTCAGTAGTTTATGTGAGTGCCTTTGTGACTTGCTGTCTTGAGGCATTTACTTGGTCAGGGTCAAATTCATCTCTGTGCATAGTACCGGCACAAAGCCTGGTTACCACTTCAGTCCAGTGAAAGCCCTCAAAATTAGGCTTACAGCACAGGCAGATTGCAGTTGTGCCTGAGCTTTGTGCTGGGTGCCTGCCTGCCCCCTCAACTACGATGGCATCGCCCATTGTTAGTGGCATCATAGTTTCTAGTAAAATGATGTCCAGTATCACAAATGCTGGTGTATATGTCAACATCCTGGCAACCAGGAATAGGCAAATCATTGCATGATATGCAGACAGGGGTTAGCTTGTGACCTCAGAATGATGCGAATACACAGTAACTCTGCCAACTGCAGTAAAGATAATTGCATTCCTCTTCAATGGAATATAAATTAGAATCAGACCTACAGGGCTCAAGTTAGTCCTTGTTTGGTTAAGCAGCTGAAGTACTCCTGTTTTTCGTTATTGTGCAGATTAGGTGTGTCCGGGATTCACCAGACCACTAATTTCTTATTAACACCTGCCAGGTTATAGAACATTGCTGTACCTAGATACCACTGCAGCCTCCGGGCCACCACTGTCCCTCTGTTAGCAGTTGATAGGAGCATGTAGTGCAAGTGCTGCTTCCCCAGATTGTGCTTGGTAATAGCCCTGTGGTCCTTTTCTGGGGCATTTGTCTTGCTTAAGTCTGGCAGCATATAGCTCTTGGTGTGTGTTAAGCTGATAATACCACTAATAAAGAATTCTGGGAGCTCTGTGATGGTGCTATAGGATATGCAGGTTGTGGGAGTCGGCATACTTATGTAAGACACAAGGAACTCCTGCAGATGGGTAGCTGCTTGATTGATGTCCCCAGTGAACCTCTGTAGCAACTCACTGTAGCAGAGTGGTCTGTCCCTTTAAGGAGGAACACTTAGCCCTATTAAGAAAGCAGGGTTCATTTGGGCATGTCCCACTGGAAGCTTTAAAAGCTCCCCGAAAAGTAAGCAAAAGGAGTAGGAAGCAGCTGTGGCAGGAACAGCTTGCTGCAAGGAGGGGCCAGGTTGCTGTGCTGGGGCTACACCAAAAAGGGCTCCCCTCCTAGTGTCTGAGATGCAGCAAGTTAGAGGTGGGACTCAAACCCGGGAGATTTCTCTGCCTGCCCTGTGCTCCAAACACTGGATTACACTTTGGTGTCCTATGTTGCTAACTGGCTTTGCCCGTTTCTCTGTTCTTAGGTACTGGCGTCGAGCACTTGGTATGCAGGTTAGGTACGCATACTACGATGACTACCAGTTCTGCTATTCCTATCGAGGGAGGCCTGGGAACAAACCATCCATACTGATGTTACATGGATTTTCTGCCCACAAAGACATGTGGCTGTCTGTAGTCAAGGTGCATTTCCACTTCTCTAATAATAAACTCATACCACAACAAAAGAACACTTACATTCTTGGTTGCTTGCTAGCCCACTAGAGAGCTTAGCTGTAGTAAGCATTAGTGCTGGAAGCATCCTAGTTCCTGCTGTCATGATAGATTGATGTGTTCCATCTCCTCGATTTAGAAATGTGAGAAGGTTTGTGTGCCCAAACTTACTGGGATGGAGTCCAATGAATAAGAAAAATAACAGGTAATTTCTGGTACTGACACAGGACTAGATTGCCTCTCTGTTCCTTGTAGGTACCAGCTGCAAGGAGTCCTTAAGACCAGAAAATCTAGGGGAGAAGAGGTGGTGGGTGGCACAAAATGGGCATAGTCTCCTTTAGGCCGGGGGTGGCTGTGGGATCCAGTCCGTCATGACAGAACAAAGGCACAACCAGTAATAGCGGGGATGCAGGGGTTCTGTGCCTTGCTATGATGACTCCTGTCTGCAGTGCTGCTGTGGAGCCACCAGTTGGAAGCAGAGCTGCTCTTTTCCAGTGATGGCATGGAAGGGGAGGCCACAAAGGAAAATCATAGGGTCATAGAAAATTAGGGTTGGGAGGGACCTCAGGAGGTCATTTAGTCCAACCCCCTGCTCAGAGCAGGACTGTCCCCTACTATATCATCCTAGCCAAAGCTTTGTCTAGCTGGGTCTTAAAAACCTCTAAGGATTGGAGACTTTACCACCTCTCTAGGTAACCTGTTCCAGTGCTTTACTACCCTCCTAACGAGAGAGTTTTTCTTAATATCTAACCTAAACTTCTCTTGCTGCAACTTAAGACTATTGCTCCTTGTTCTGTCATCTGCCACACCTGAGAATAGTCTAGATCCGGGTGGGCAAAATACCACCCACAGGCTGGATTCGGCCCATGTGGCCATTCTATCTAGCCTTTGGAAAATTAATATTTCTCTGCCCTTGGTTCCTGTCAAAAATGACAGGAACCAAAAATGCTGGCCTTGGGACATTGGTCCCAAGATGGTGACCAGGGGGCGGGACACCTGTCAAGGGGTGAGGCACCTGTCAAGGGGCGGGGCTACCCATGTGGCCCTCGACAGCCTGCCAAAACTGGGTAAGCGGCCCTCCGCTCAAAATAATTGCCCGCCCCTGGTCTAGATCCATCCAAGCTGCCTTTCATCTTCTGGGCTGCATGTAGTAACTGCGGCTTGTCTAGCTGTACCTGATTCTACTTCAGACTAGCCAAGGCACTGCTGTGTTGGCTCATGCTAAGGATTTACCCAGCTTCTCAGTTTTGGTGCTCATGGCTGTGCTGCTACTGGTACGTGAATTTGCTACTTTCATACTAGCCCAGGTGTGTCTGGGAGACACTGGGGTCACAGTTTGAGGGCAGTGAAGACAGATCTTTTCTGGCATGGCTGTGTTGGGACAGGGAAGTGTAGTGTGTGCCTCCTTGTTCTGTGGGCAATGAGTCTTGCCCTAAGCATGTAATGATTTCACTTACCAAACATTCATAACCCTGTTCCCATTCTCTTTCTCTTCCTTTCTCCTTTTGGTCTATTCCATGTTTTTAAGCTTGGAAAAGCTACTGTTGCAGCTGTTGGCCATGCCAAGCATCTTGAGGGGTTCTGGTGGGAAATGGTGTTCCTTTCCCCCTGCAGCCACCAGTTTTCTTCTTTTTCATAACACCTTTTCTGCAGATTAACTTCCCAGAGCTCTATTTCCACAGTTCCTGCCGAAGAATCTGCACTTGGTGTGCGTTGACATGCCTGGCCATGAAGGCACTACCCGGTCATCCTTAGACGACTACTCCATTAATGGGCAAGTTAAAAGAATTCATGAGGTAAAGTCCTTAGCTCTGGTGTGTTCTGTATTCTTTATTCTACCTTCTGGGGCAGGGATGGCCAACCTGCGGTGTGCCACAACTGATACTGGCAGCCTCTGTGTGTGGCATATGACAGATTGAAGAGGGAGTAGGCAGCACAGTGGCATATAGGTCAGGGAGAGGAAAGCAGAATAGCAGCCAGGACAGAAACCAGAGCGGCAGATTGGGCAGGGGAAGGGGTCTGGAGTGGCACTTAGGAAGGGTGCAGGGCTTACTTAGGACTGTATCATTCTTTTAGGCCCAGGCTAAGGACAGTAGGTAGTAATGGTACACTGATAGAGATTTTGAGGGCTGATACCAGTAGCCGATATTTAAGGAGGCATATCAGCTGATACCGATCCAATTTCTGATACACATGTGACGAGCCAGTAGGGAGTGTTCCTGCGTTGAGCCACCCACCTCACTGTGCCTGACCACCTTCCAGGCTCCGAGTGCTTCTCTGGGGGCACCTCACATCTGGCTGACCCCCTTCCTGGAGCACACCCGCTAGCCTGGGGTAAAAACTGCCACCACCCAGGGCTGAGCTTTATTTTGGCTCTGTGCACCCTGGGAACCACAGGTCTAGTAGCCCTCGAGGGTACTTGACTCACTTCAAGCACTTGGGGGTGCTTCCCTCAGTCGGAAGCACAAGTAGTGGTCTCCCTTAGTCAGCCGAACCAAGAGGACCCCAAGGCATAATCTAGACCCACACCCAATAAGTCTCCCACGCTAGGTACAAAGGAGAACTTTATTGGTTACAAGGGGTAGGGTTGGAATAGGAGTAGGGTTGTTCCACAGGGTAGAGCACTATCAGAGAAATCCCATAGACCAAACTGGCATGGCTGGGTAGCCTTTGATCACACATCTGAGTTACTGCGTGCTATATATCTAGTTAGATCTCAGGTAGCTTACTCACAAGTATCATCCAGAGG